ACCTAACCCACCCCACCCCATCCCACCCTAAATAAAAATGTTATTAATAGTACTATCTTTCATTTCAACAAAAAAAATATTTTTTTTCCATGACATAGAATTTTATTTTTTTTTCATTTTAACAAAATGAGTATTTTCTTTTCATGATATAGAAAAAATATTTTCTTTTATTTCAATAAAATGATTACTTTATTTTCATGTTGTAGAAAGAGTATTTTCTTTTTCAACCAAAAAAAGTATATTTTCTTTATAGCTATGGAGTATTTGTTTGAATTTTTAGAAGAATAATTAAATTGTTGAAGAAAATAGAGTCCTGAAAAGGTTGAGTATTTGGGGAGAGAGGGTGGGGGCAAAGAAACATGGAAACTTGGGGAAAGGGGGTGAGGGGAGTAGCATAAAAAAATATTTTCTACTCTCTAACCAAACACTAGAAATATTTTTCGGAAATATTTTTTTACTCACAAACCAAACAAGCAAAAATAAGTGATAAAGCCACTCATTTTCCATGAAAACATTTTCTAAGAAAATAATTTCCATGGAAAACATTTTCGTTCGTACCAAACACCCTATATTTAATAGAATTCTATCACTTGCTAGCATGTTGAATAAACAAGGATGTCTCTTGTGTTAATTAGTAGAGTTAGGTTTTTTAATCAATTTGAAGGGAGCCTTGGTGTAATTGGTAAAGTTGTTACCGTGTGACCAGGAGGTCACGGGTTCGAGCAGTGTAAACAACCTTTTGCAGAAATGGAGGATACAGCTGTGTATAATAGACCTTTGTGGTCCGGCCATTCTCTGGACCCGTGCATAGCGAAAGCTTTGTGCATCGGGCGACCCTTTTTTTTAAAAAAAAATAATAATTAATTTTTGTCATATTATTGTCTGCCTGCAGAGTCATTCCCAAGACACTCATGCCTAGAGAGGTATGTCTGCTATGATCAAGAAAATTAATGTTTTTATAACAATAATTATTCCATTGTTTAAGAGCTGATACTTTGAGTTTATTTCCTTCAGTTGATGTAGCAAAAGACAGTATTTACAAAGTTATATGATGTTAATTGTTTGGGTACTGAAGACACTGTTTGTGTTTTCTTGTCTTTGATTGCCTTATCCATATACAATAGTACTTTGACATCTGGCTTTTCTCTAGTATTATGTATTTTTAGGTTCTAAATGGTTTTCCTGACTTTTCCTTCTTTATACAAAGCTTTATTCACTCTGTTTCAGAGATCAGTAATAGCTCTTGTGTTTTCTTTCTTGGCTGTTTCTGCAACTGATATGTATGTATATATCTTGAACTGGTGGTGTATTAAGGCCAAGGCTGCTTTCTTCTGCAACTGCTGACTCTAAAGTCCTTTTTGGGATTAAGTTTTCTTTTTCTCTGAAATACTCATCATTGCTTTACTGCACAAAATTCACTACACTACAAGTAAAGCTTCTCTCTTTCATTTTTTTATCTTTATTTCTACCACATTATCTGATTTTTCAAAAAAAAAAAAGGGTTTTTTGTTTTTAATATATGGTACTGACTTTTTCACAGCTAACTGGTGAAACAGTAGGAGAAGTGAAGGCAGTTGCAGATATGCATCAAAGGAAAGCAGAAATGGCGAAGCATTCTGATGCTTTTATTGCCTTACCAGGTTGGTATAAGGTCTCTAGTCAAAGTTTAACCTTTACACGCAAATGAAAAAAGAAAATCAGTGCTTTAATATTTGCTATTTTGGGCAATAGATTCATTATATGCCTCCTATTGTTTATTCTTCCGATAGTTCAGATAGTTATCTTTTTGGCTTAGTATTCCTCTTCTGTCCTCGTTAAAGAAACTATGCATAAGTAAGTTCTCCTTTAAAGGACAACAATAATAGAATTTTGCAGGATTTGCATAGCATTCTTACTCCTTGATACAAGTCCCAAAAGAAGGGATTTCCATAAAGAATTAACTATGCTAAAAATTATTAATATCTAGTCGAAAATATTAAAAGTGTAGTCCGGCGCACAAGGCATCCCATGTTCATGCAAGGTCCAGGAAAGGGCCGCTCCCAGAGGGGTATGATGAATACAGTCTAACCTAGTCGAAAATATTCTTAAAGATATATATCTGCACAAAATTTGAACCCATGTTACAAAAGAGTGGTACCTAATTATGGAGTATTAATAGTCGTTTAGCGAGAAGGAAAAAGAAAAGGAAAGAATGTGAGGGGTTAGTTTTGTTCGGATCCTTCAAAAGTGTTGCCACAATCGTGTCAAATCATTCAAAAATGCATTATTTTTAGAGGATCCGATCTAACTCACCTGGCTACATTTTGGTGGTTCCGAGCAACTCATGTTAGTGGTTGCTTTTGTTGTGAAGCTTAAATAATCAGTTACTATTTCACAAGCTCTGTGGTCCTTGAAGTTTTCACAATTGAGCAACAGTACAAACCGTAGTTGTTGACCTATCAACATCTTGCACTGAAATTGGAGTTGTTCACTGTGAAAGAACCTACTTCTGTGATTTATTCTTTTCCTTTAATGTGCTACAGTCACTTGGGATGATAGAAAAAGGGAAAAAATAAACTGCCACACTTTCACTAAATTGGTAATACCAACTGGCTGCTAGACCTAACAAGGTTCTCTACAATTCAAACTGCTCATATTAAATATTCCTTTTGGTTGCATCTTAACTATATAGTCACAAAACTTCCAACAACAACAAAGCCAATGTGAACCAATAAGTGGGGTATGTGGAGGGTAGTGTGTATGCAGACCTTATCCCTACCCGAGAAGATAGAGAGATAGTTTCCGATAGACTCTCGACTGAGGAAAGATAAAACAAAACAGTAGCAGCAAGCAATAACAATAGCAAGACACTGAGAAAACCGAAGCGAACGATAGTGAGAGAACAGATAACCAGAAAAATAGATGGAACGAAGCAGTAGCAATAAAATAAAACTATTGCAAACAGAACAAAATAAAACTATTATTGAATTAAACACCTTGTCTAGACATTTTAGCAGAATATTATTGTATTTATGAGAATCATGCCCTGTATCATTCTTCTGTTGTTCTTGATTTTATGTTTCAATTTTCCCACTTTGCTTTTTAACATTTGACTAAGTTGATCAACCTAAAGTAGGACATTATGGTTCATTAATCATTAATTTCTCAGTAGCTAAGCACAACATTAGATGGTTCTAGAAGAAGCATTAACGGTATTATCTGCTTCACATTCCAGGTGGTTATGGAACTCTTGAGGAGCTACTTGAAGTGATAACCTGGGCACAACTTGGTATCCACGATAAGCCGGTATAATTTTTAATTGTTATTATAACTTTAAGATCATCAGTTTTTAATTTCAACATTCACAATTGAGAACCGAAAAAAACATACATTTTGCAGGTAGGATTGCTGAATGTGGATGGATATTACAATTCATTATTGTCATTTATTGACAAAGCTGTTGAGGAAGGTTTCATCTGTCCAAATGCCCGCCACATCATTGTATCAGCACCAACACCAAAAGAGCTAGTCAAGAAATTGGAGGTAAAACTCTTAGAAGAGGCAAATACAATGTTTTGATCAAGAAACCAACTTCCTCCCTTTACCTGCTTAGAAACCTTTTGAACCTTAAACTAAATAGACTTTCAAGCTACATGAGAAGAGCTTTAAAAATACTAGAAAATAGTCTTTTCGTCGTATATTTGCTTGACCTGCAGCCTGTAAAGAACACTGATCCCTTCTGGTAAAAGGGAATAAGGATAATCCTTGCCAAATTAGTCTAGACGCAATCATCGTTTAACAATATTTGTCTTGTAAAGTCATTCTTATTCTTCATTAAGGTACTGTTAAAAATGGCAATCTATAGTTAGAAGTACATATTTTCTTTGCGATCGCAGGATTATGTTCCTTGCCATGAAAGAGTTGCGTCTAAGTTGAGCTGGGAGATGGAGCAGCTTGGCTATCCCCAAGCACAAGAAATTGCAAGATGAACAAGCTAGCCTGAAATTCTTATTTTTGTTGTGGGGAAAGGGTGTTCTTTTTTGTTATTCACCCTGTAAATTTCTCTAGAAATGGCAATATCTCTCATCCCCCCTATTCCCTTCAAGTGGAAATTTCCTTAATATACTGTAAGATGTAACTATTAAGATTATGCATATGTACTTATTTCCTAATGCTGACTTGCTAAGTGTGCAGTGTAGTCCTGTATGTCTTTTTCTTTATCACATGTCTATAAGCTGAAAACAAAAAGTATAAATATTTAAGTGACTCTTGGACAATGATGTAAATATTGAAGCCAAAGTTTCAACTTATTCCAAGTTCTCAACCATTCTCCTCAACTAGTTTTCAGGTCATTCTCCTGCTCTGGTTTCTTGATTGTTTATCTTCTTTTTGTCCCAATGTATTAGTAATACATTAATAGTGCAGGGCAGGGGAAGATCTAAATGGGGCGGGGCAGGGCAAAACATTATTTTCGAAAAAATTAATGGGTTAGGGCAGGGCAGGGTTAGGTCCTGTATTAAAAAACTTTCCAAAAAGGAGAGAATGTTTCCAACTATCCTGTATTGGTATGTCCCGATAGTTATAAAAAAAATTACTGAATCTTTTGCAAGGGTGAAGCATGATGTTTTTATATCTGTTCTAATACTAAATCACTAGCTGAACTCATAAATTTGAAACAATTACTCAAATAGTGAAATACTATTTTTACCTTATGATATATAGTCGAGATACATTCGAAGGGTTTATAGCATCAAATAATGAGGGGGGAAATAAAGAAGAGCAAAGCTAAATTTAAACAGTCATATATGGGGCAATATAATACTTTACTGACATGTCTATTTTAAGTAAATAAAAAATAAAGAAAAAAAATGAAAGAGAATCTAAACGGAACAGGGCTGGGTAGGGCAAAATTTTGAAAAAAGGCTAAACGGGGAAGAGCAGGGCGGGTCAAAATCTTAGTGGGTCAAGACTAGCACCGCCCCGCCCCGCCCCAATTGCCATCCCTATAAGTATTACATGTGATTTTTCTTTAGTTTAAGCCAAGCTTAAATTAAAACTATAAACAGGAATGGTTAACAAAGAGCTGAACATGGACCACAACCCTAATTGATTCCTAAACAGTATAAACAGAACAATATAAGTGCAGCAACTTCTTGATAACAAGTGATATCACTGAAGCCAGTTTGATCCGTTTTCCCCCTCGTGTAGCTGTATTGCATTAGAAAGGAGACATGAGACATCCATGGTGTGCTAGTTTTCAGGACCAGCTAGTATTAGTAAGCCAGCGATAATTGTAATATCCAAAGGAATTAATTTATGTACATTATGTGTGAATAAACTCGTTTAGCCAGATCAGTTATCATTTTTATTTGGTTTCTAATTAATGTTTATCATAGAGATTTACATGTACTACAGAAAAGGAAAGCATAGTCCGATTAATGAGAAGTGGGAAAAACGGGCTATACACCTAATAGGTGTGTGAGAATAAAGTTGCACATGAAAAGTAGAAAAGAAAAATAAGTTATTTATAAGGAGTTGGATACTCTTAATAGAGAGAGGCCTTTCGGGGAAAACTATCGGGCTTGGCCGAAAGAGGACAATATCACATCATGCTAAGAGTATCTTTGGGCCGTTTTAGCCCAACAACTGGTATCAGAGCCAATGGTTTGGCGAGACGAGTATGGAGATGGCGAAGCGATGGCGTAGGCGCGGCTTAGTGCCTTTGACCGTCTATTTGTCGGTTTACTAAGAGTATCTTTGGACTGTTTTAGCCCAATATATATTATGTAACAGATGGACATGTTTCAACTGATATTTAGATTGTTGTTTGCTATTAAGGTTTCGGTTAAGGGACAACCATAACAATGCTATGATCCACGACCAACACAGATAACAGAAGGGGGCCAGGGAAAACAGATAAGAGGGATAAGAAAGGAGGGGCCTCAGCCTCTGCTTCATATTCAGAGAATGGTAAGTGGTGGCGCTAGTCAAACAAATAAGATAATTAAGGAAAAGACCCCATGTGCGCTATTTGATAAAATGATAGTTCCATGTTGGTCCCCTGTTTCATTTGAGCATGTGCAAAAGTCATGCATAATGGAGAATGATCAACTGTTTTATTTTAGTTTGGAGAATATTGAGAATTTACCAAAAAAGGCATTTGGTGGTTGAAGAGTCTATTTTCTGTTGTTTTTTGGGCTTTGGCTTTGTTGTGAAAATTCATCAAGAAATTAATTATGAGTGTGTCTCGTGGAGCCACAAATGGTCCATAAAGAAGAATTCCACATAGAAATTAAAACATCAAGGGTATATGCGTGAACATAAACCCTATGTCCCTATCTATTTACTTGTATAGATTTAAGTGCAATACATGCCCCATACACCAAAATGTAAACAAAGTCTATTAGTCACATAGGTTATTTGCCTGCTCTTACTAGTGACTATATATCTTGTGGCTTTCTGCTGTAACATGATGTCGGCAAAGGACTTATTAAAAACATCTTTAACTCCACATCAGTCTGTTTCATTTACTCTTTTGTGTGCCACGTTCTTTTTTATATGCCAAGAATGTCAACTTTTATGATGAATGGCTAGAAAGTTGGGTCGACTTAGCGATAAGGGGGTGGGAAAATTGGATGTTATTCATTTAAGTTCCTTTATAAGGTGAAGTTGACATTATTTGAAACAGAAAAAGTATAGGGTACGTAAAGTATCATTTACTTAGCTACTGAAATAGCCGCTCATAAACTTGGAGCAACGGTAAAATTATCTTAGTTTGACCTATAGACAGTGACGGTTCCACCTTGAGAGGTGGGGGTGCTATGTCACCCGCAAGTTTGGCAAACTTTCTTAAAATATATTTTGAATTTTTTTAGAATATGGCTATATGTAAACGTTGCCACCCGCATCACCAAACCAAAGGAAGGTGCCTTGTTGAGAATTAGTTTCTTAAAAAGATTTTGGAAAATTTTCAGGGAAACCCACAGTCGCTATTTTTCGGGTACGCACTGGATAACCTGCTCACTGTGCAATAGTTCACAAATCACACAGGAGATATAAACCGCACTAGTCAAATCTGGTGCGACGAGCTCTGACTGAGGAGGCTGCTGGTGAGACGAAATCGATCATAAATCTCTCATGTGAGAAACCACTCGGTCAAACTTGCAGGCTAGTTTCTTAAAGTTATTCTCTTGTTTGTGCTTAGGTTTGAGTCTGATTTTAACGAGGAAGTCAATTTTTCGTTTGCTCAGTTTTCCTTTTCTTTTATTTTTCCCTTTTGTCTTTGTCTTTTCTACTTCCTCTTTCCTTTTTCCTTTTTCTTTTTCAATCTTTTCTCCTTTTGTTTGTTTATCAATGACCTTTTGAAGGAGTACATATAAAATAAAATAAAAACTGCAAATGATCAAAGTACCATAAATAAAAACCATAGCTCTTAACTCAAAATTCGGTTGCTTATGTTAATAAAAACCTTACAAGATTATTCTTTTTAAATTCTGTTAGTTGTTTCTATTGTCCTATTACTTTGTTATTGCTACTATCTGTTTATTGTTTCTTTTTCACTATTCTTGAGTCAAGGGTTAATCGGAAACAAACCTCTCTACCTCCATAAAGTATGATTAAGGTCTGCATATACATTATGTTCCTCAAACCCTACTTTTCGGATTTCACTAAGTATATCGTTATCATTGTTGTTAAGTGCAATTGTCCTATTGAAAATATGTTGCTTGCAATGTATTATTTCTCTATCAAAAATATATTTTTTTTTCCTTATGCTCTTATAGGATTAGTGTGATTCTCCTATTAAAAATACTCTTTCGCTTATGCAAAAATATTAATAAAAAAGATGTGATTCCTTTATTGAAGGATTATTGGTAATTTTTACTTGTGTTTATTTATTTTAATAGGATTGTGTTGATTTTTCTATTGAAAATGCAGTTAAATTTATTAAACCAACCAGAATGAACTCAAAACATATCAAACCGAATTGAATCAAACCGATATATACTCACAATAAAACTTTATGGTCAGTGCGAGGTGTGTATTAAAAGAAATATGGCACCCCTTATGTTCAAATTCTGGACCCGCCTCCGCGGCTATAGGTCACAGGTTCGAGTCGTGGAAGTAGCCACTAATGCTTGCATTAGGGTAGGCTGTCTGTATCACATTCTTTTAGATGCGGTCCTTTCACGGCCCTGTGTGAACGCGGAATATCTTGCACACCGCGTTGTCCTTTTCCTAGGGGTAGTGCACATCAAAGTAGCACTATAGAAAAATGGTACTTCCATTTGTAAAGTACCCAGAGTTTTATGATAATGAAAATGACACAATGATTTTAATTATATGGCATAAGTTGATAGGTTGAAGAAATTAATATTCTAGTGCTGGACAACTATAATTGCAAAGTGCTAACAGAAAGCCTAAGATTAGATGTTTGAATAGTCCCTTTGGCATTCTTAATGGCAACAAATTAAAAATGGCAGCTCATATAGATGTTAAAAGGATAAAAGAAAAAAATAAAAGCATGATAATAACTTGCCTGCCATAACAATGATAATAATTTCTCAACTGGAATTGGTGCCAAATTGAAAAGTGCATCTAGATCATTTAGTTCAATGTATGCAACTCTAGCAAATTAAATGTACTTTATACGTCTGATTTGTATAGTTTCTCCAGTTGAAATTCTTCTCTTCTGAAATTTTTGGTTTTAATTTCAAGAAAAATTTAGATAATATTCACCTCCATAACCCCCCACATGAATGAATAAACAAAAATTGACCTAGAAATGCTAATGAGTATAGACATGTCTCAACCAAACTTGAATGTAGTTGTGATTGCTGCCAATACATGTGTTTCTCTAAAGCAAAACCACAATCAAAGGAATAGACAAAGAATGAAATGGTACAATCCCATGATGTTGGGGTCACTAAAAAATCTAAAAATGGAAACCCCAAATTCATAATTACTTAGGACTCCTATTTGGGAAGTTTGTGTTGTGGCAAAATTGATTTCCTTAGTTGGTAGTTGACGTGTAACATTCTTAAAGGGCTCTCCTTTTGGCTTTAGTATGAAAACCAATAACCATATTGTATACCCGAAAAACGGATAGAGTTAAATTTATACGTAGTTCTAAAGATACGTAATATAATTCGGTACAAATTGAAAAAATAAGTAAAGATATATCGAATATTAACTT